TTCCTTTGCAGCTGCTGGTCCGGTAGGGGACTGGTCAGTAAGGTTACGTTTCTCTGCAGCTGATGGTCCGGTAGTGGACTGGTCAGTAAGGTTACGTTCCTCTGCAGCTGATGATCCGGTAGTAGACTGGTCAGAGGTAAATTTTTGTTTCTCTGCAGCTGATGGTCCGGTAGTAGACTGGTCAGTAAGGTTTTGTTCCTTTGCAGCTGCTGGTCCGGTAGGGGACTGGTCAGTAAGGTTACGTTTCTCTGCAGCTGATGGTCCGGTAGTGGACTGGTCAGTAAGGTTACATAACCTACAGTCGATTTCATCTTCTGACTGGGACGAATATTCTGACAGAGTAAAACTACTACTGCTTCCGACATGCTTTTCAAACTTGAAATAATCCGTACCGGGGGCTTCATCAGAGTCGCCCTCGGTGCTTTTGATGGGCGAAGAGGTAGACGTGTTCGACAAAACCTCGGATATACTCGAAGAAGACAACGAGAGTGAACTTTCTTTTGAAAGGTTTGAATCTTCTTGAGTTTGGGACAAACTTCCAGAACCGGTCAAGTCACAATCAGTGATCCGTGTATAGCTCGAGCTGAAAAACAAATTTAGTCGACCGTGTATAAAGACAAGTTACAGACAATAAATTACTAACCCCAGAAACATAAAATGTAATATATACAAGATTAAGACCACTTATCTTCAAGCTACAGTACTAACATTTTATAATTACTAACGTTTCATAAACGTTAATTTTAACAACTTTATTTACATATTTACTTTCATCAACTCCATCTATATTTCTAAATAAATATGACGTAAATGTTGGCTCGACAACGTATCCAATCAAAATGAAGAATCTTGGAACATTCGACTACGCTAACTTAAGGTTTTTTTTATTTCAAATAGTGTACTTGAGCGTAGTTTCTGACCTTCTAGACGTATGTGGAGTCGTCTGAGTGATCGCGTCCTGTGCCTGTAGTTCGCGTCCTGAGGTTCCGTTCTCACTCACGCTATCGGTGTGGTACCCTAACTGGCCGTTAGGTGGAGGCTGGTAGGCACAGTCTTCTACTTTCCTCATGAAATCTTCCAAGTCGTGCCGGCTCTACTTAGAAGAAGTAAAAACACTTTACAGTTTAAATAATGAAAATATCTCTGTAATAGTACTTTCAAATTAGATATAGTGTTCACAATAAACTGACACTTATCTTCGTTCACGTCCCCAATCCGCGCTTCAGTACAACCAAACGTACGCGGACTAACCTTCCGAAACACGTACAGTTATTACCTCTGTACATATATGGAACAAAAGCAATAATTACCCTTGGAAATGAAAGACTAAATACTATCCGCCTATCTTTACAAAACAAAACACATTATTTCATCATGAATAATCAAATAACTAATGATTCTTATAAATATGATTTTGATCTTATTGTACATACAATCAACTTTACTATCTCCTTCGTTAGCTCAACAACAGCCCGGTGGTTAGGACGCTCTGTTCGTAATCTGTAGGTCAGAGGTTCGAGTCCCACTAAGTGGTGGTGTTAAGTAGCTGCCTTCCCTCTGACCTACCCATTCAAAATTAAGGACGTCTAGCGTAGGTAGGGCATGGCCTGGTGGTTAGGGCACTCCACTCGCCATCTTCGGGTCACGGGTTCGAATCTTCGTCCCACCAAATATGCTCGCCCTTTCAGCCATAGGAGCATTATAATGTGACGCTCAATCCCACTATTCGTTGGTAAAAGAGTAGCCCAAAAGTTGGTGGTGATGACTAGCTGTCTTCCCTCTAGTTTTACACTGCAAAATTAGGGACGGCTAGCGCAGATAGCCCTCGTATAGCTTTGCGCGAAATTGAAAACAAACAAACAAGCTTGCAGAAGCTGAACAGACTAGATTGATATTCGTAAAATATTCCAACAGCGTCAAAATAACAAAACTAGAAACTAATACTCCACCCTAAAAAAACCTAATCAGTCAATACTATCAAGAGGTCTGTGAGAAATAAAAGTGACTAACTGGTTTCAGCAAAAGTAAAATTCTTTCTAATTAATGTTGATAATCATATTTCGATTTTTAGAAACGAAAGAAAACTTTTAAAGTTGAATAGATCGAATCAGTTTTAAACATCTATATTTGCCACAAGGTGCTTCTAATGAGTGTTAAGATAAAACACTGGAAACAGTAATGAACTAACACCCTTATTTAAAGCTTCCTATCATAACACAACACCCTGGTCCTCTGTCGCTCGTGAACAGGACACCCCGTTCTAGTAAGTACCGGTACAACACACCCCGGACCCTGGTTTAAAGTCCTCTATCGTGACAAAACACCCTGGTTTAAAGTCCTCTATCGTGACAAAACACCCTGGTTTAAAGCACCCCCATCGTGACAAAACACTCTGGTTTAAAGCACCCCGTCGTGACAAAACACCCTGGTTTAAAGAACCCCATCGTGACAAAACACCCTGGTTTAAAGCACCCCATCGTGACAAAACATCCTGGTTTAAAGCACCCCATCGTGAGAAAACCTCCTGGTTTAAAGCACCCTGTCGTGACAAAACACCCTAGCTTAGAACTTTCAGTCTTGATAAATACAAAGTTTGATCACGCTAGTGCAAAGTGATTTTTTCTTATAATGACTTTCACAACTGTAATTTGTTACTGCTAAGACCAAAATATGAAAACATAGAGAAGCACCCAAACAAAGGTAACACATGTTACTGGCAATTCGTGATTATTTAAACTACGAACGTTACTCTGGGGTTCCAATAAAAAGAATATTTATGTTGGGACGAAATCGTAATTACAGGTTACTCAAACTGAGCGACATCACTGCACCCAATAACAGATACAACAAAGTGTCCATTACAGTCAGTTCGGTCTGGTTTTGTTGTTGAACACAAAACTACACAATGGACTATATATGCTCTGCTCACTAGGGGTATCGAAACCTGATTTTTAGTGTCATAAGCCTGCTGAACTTCTGGGAACCAGTCAATTCGGAAAGCTTTAACTCAACCAACACCTTATCCCTCTAGCGTTTTTTTTTTCTAATACAACAACTGCCTGATTGAACTTTAGTCAATGTTTTGTCTCTTCTAGCATTTTGTTGGAATACAGCAGCTGCCTGGTACCACTGTGTAGTCTCTTATATTTCTATGTACACTACTTCAAACCTATATAATAGATAAATAAAAATGTGGTCGTCTAGTAGTTTAGATGAACATTTTGATTAACAACAGGTTTAAAAGCTTTCACTGTGTAAAGTTCAAACTGTAGTTTTGAGATACAGTCATATTTGACTCAATGCCAAAAACAACATACATCATAAAAAATGTTAACATCACGGTTATTGGCTCTTACACCTGATTTTCGAGAACAAAAACTTATTATGGGATACCTCCCACAACTTTATTTTCACATACCAATTGAGATGATACCGTTGAGGATGATCCCGAGTGGTCAGCTGCTACATGAGAAGAGAAGCAAGTAGGTTCAGGCGTTTTTTCGTTGACCTTTCCATTGCCAGTTGGTGTCTGCTCAGAATATGTTGCAAATTCTGATGACTTTTGTCCATTAGTTCTACAATGACCATGTAAAAACTCTGAAGACATTTTCTTTGTCATGTCCTCCTCGTGCAGTCTTTTGTTTCCGTCATTTCGGATCTCTGTAAAATCTGCAGATTTTTCATTTTTGTTTGTCTGGGAGAAATTCCGCTCCAAAATTCGTGATACATCATCATCATTACATGATATTTTCGTCTCGGAAAGTGCTTCTTTATCTTCCAAAACATCCAAAAGTTGCGATTGTGGAGCAGTTTCATCAGAAGAGCTAATTACATCAGCAAATGTTAAAGAATCGTCTTCAGCAGGTTCTTGTTCTGCAGACTTCCAGCTGTCTGTGGAAGACAATTTCCCCAAACTTAATTTATCATCATCACTGGAAATTCTCTTCCTTACCAGCTCAATATCGTAATTAGTCTGATTTTTCGAATAAGCAACTAAAAATCCATGGCCGAATTCGGAGCAAGAAACAGCTTTAAAATTGGTATTACCAAAAGTGTTATTACGATAAGAAATAACTGTTTCGTCATAGATGACTTTTGTTTCTGATTTGGGAACAATTAGATCTGTATTCCGTTTCTGTGGAACATCAGTGTCACTTTTAGATCTTTGTTTAACTAGTAGTGTCAAGTCTTGGATTGTTTCAATCTCACAATTACTCCTTCTTCTCATCATTGGTGCTTTTGTCATTGTGGATAAGGGAAGACTGTTACGATAGATGTTAGTCCTATTATCTTCGTTCATGTGTTCTTGTGACGCAACAATAACCAAATCACCTTTATATACAGGATATGCTTCGAGATCCGAGTCAGCCTGTGATTGGATATCCACCCCTTTCGTGTTCCTAACATCCACAACTTCTGAAACACTTTGGAGAAAACTGTGTTTATCGTTGGCCTCACCAAGCTTTGAATATACATGTGTTTGGTGTTCGTGGTCAAGCTCGTTTTTCGTCAAAATGGTCTGGACTGGAAGTTTTGGGGTCAAATCGGAATGTCCATTCCGATTCGAAATGGAAGGAAATTTGTTAACTGGTGATTCACAGTTTTCCAGACATGCTGGAACACTAATCTCTGTTCGAAGCTTCTGTGAAGAATGATCATTTGGAATGGTTCCTCCTCCTGTTCTTGGAATCAAGTAATCGTCATCACTGGTTTGAATAGCAGTTTCCCAAGTAAGTTTTGAGTCTACTGGACTATAAGGTTTTCTAGAGGGGCACGATGACCGTCGAGTCGTTGATCTGGATTGTAATGTGTCAACTTCTTCCACCTTAGAAGGATAAGAGTTTTGTCTAATCAATCTTGATTTCCCTAAGCATCGATTTCGAAAATTGTACTTCGCGCGATATTTACAATACCAAGGTTCGCGTCCGCGTGCGACGTTTGTGTAAATACCATCATTGTGTGTTGTTTTCTTTCTGGAAGAACAAGAATCACATTCATTACAAAGGTTTCTTACTGGACTAGAAATAAGAACACTTGTTTCCTCGTGATCACTACAAGAAAGCGTTTCGTCAATTTCCTTTACTAGATTGTTCGCCCAATCAGACAAAAGTTCTACATTTTCTCCGCTAGGTGGACTGGGAATAAATTCTTGTTGTTTTTCAACAGGAATTGTTAATAACCCAGGAGTTGGGTAAGAGGGAAATTGCTTTAACCTCTGGGTTAATGTCATATACTGACATTGATAAAGACTGTCAGAAAAATTTTCAGTTTTACTTAAATCAGCTAACTCTACACTTACGCATTTCTTGTTTAAATGTCCGTTTTTGAAGTCGGAGTAAAATACACTGTCATCCGAGTGTAATGCTGTGGGACGAGAGTGACCCTTTTGACCCCGTGAACAATATAATTCTGGACTACGAGTAGGGTATTCAGGACTTGAGGGGCATGATAAATTTCTCTCCCATTTTGGATATCCGCCAAGTTTTCTCATGTGTGTGAAGGTTACAGTTGTATTTAAATCATCATGAGGAGTTGCAGATGTAATGTGGTTGACATATATAATGTATTTTTCTTTGCTGTCACTTATAAGTTCTTAGAAATACTTTGAACTAGTTAATAGCTTTTAAACGTTTACATTTTTATTATTTCAGGAAGAAATTGGTAGAGTCTTCGACAACCTAAAACTAAATGGAAGAAGTTATGATGAAGAAAAACTCGAGAACATATTCAGTGAAGATGGAGGATCCAGCGCCGGCGATGCATTTCGCTCAATACCACAGCTCGCTGATCTGGACGCCGTTTATAACTTTTCATGAAAAACGCCTTAATTATTATGAGATTTATTCAAGTGGTTTACACATCTGAGCTTTAGGTAGAAGAATTAACTATTCATATAGTTTTAACGCTGATTATTTATTTTCAATTAAAGTTTTATTTTAATTACCTTTAATTTCATTATTTAGATTTGTTTGTTTGTTTTGAATTTCGCGCAAAGCTACACGAGGGCTATCTGCGCTAGCCGTCCCTAATTTAGCAGTGTAAGACTAGAGGGAAGGCAGCTAGTC